TTATTCGGGCCGTAATACGGAGCTGAAACTTTGCAGACTTTGATCTATATATCTGCGGGGAAACCGGCAAACTAAGAAATCTGGGTTTTCGACAGTGTAAAACGATCATAATTCCTTTGATTCCAATCTCCTGTTCCTCTGTCTGTTGTTGTCGGCGTTGCCTTCGCTGTGTTCATCGATGTTCCTTCTACTCCGCGGTTTCTTGTTGACGTCTTCTCCTTCGTTGTTCACGATGAATTTGAAGTCGGCGTTCTCGCTCTAGAGGAGTTTCGGTGGAAAATCTTCCTGGGCGAGGATTTGGAGCCACTTGTTGTGCTTGTGTGCGACACCATTTGGCGAATGCGACTCGTTGACAAAACCCAGTTTGCGCGGTTGCTGAGCCAGGCGCACGTGCTGAAAATTAACCGGGACCACCGTGCGCGCCTAGTTTCATCAAATCGGGAAAGTTTCGCATACTAACAGTAAGACGATACGATACTTCTTCTTTACGCGGGGGACATAAGGGTGCCTCCTCGGGTTCCGGCCTCTGGGCCGGAACCCTGCGGGGGCAATAAAAGAAATTTTGATTATGTTTCAAAGAAGATTTGAAATACTTTTTTGGGGCCACAGGTCACAACGAGGAAACCTAGTTATTTAAGGTTAACTAAGGGCGATACAAAGGAAAAAGTCACTAAAGAAAAATCCACATGATTAAAACTACATTGGCTAGTTAAATTTCCACTAAGTAATACCTGCGTTTGGGATTTGTAGGGGAGGAGGTTAAAGTTCTCATAGAGAAAAGAAAAGTATCTCGGGTTCACGTTCTCTAATGCATGACTTTTCAAGAGTCATTCAGTTTTTTTTATGGTTCTGGTATTGCGCACGAGCTCCCACTGCGACGCCAAGTGTGGATATGTGATGACTTGTCTTGGTAGTTGATTCAAAAAACCTTCCGGGGATTGCACCCACTCCCCTACCTTGTACGCCCAAGGGTTTAAGGGTACTTAAAGTTGCAATATTACAAAAAAGTAGTTGGCCCTTTGCTGACCTTTATATTACCTATATGTAGCAGCGAAGTGTATTGAAAAGGGAGTGTAAAAATTCAGTGCCCACTTTAAACAGCCGAAACCCCATGGGACTGAAAAACTCACTTTAACTAATACTTCTTTTTTCTTTTTTCTGCATCTCAAGACCGCCGCCTGGTTGCGGCTCAGTTGGGAGAGCGCCGGTCTGCTGAGCGGGAGGTCACGGGTTCAAACCATGGTCGGACCAACACTCAGGGTCTTTAAATAACTGAGAAGAAATTGCTGCCTTTTTAATGACATCTGCAAACGGTTAGACTTCCTAGTCTTGTCGGGTAAGGACGAAAAACCGTAGGTCCCGTCTCACAGCACTTACTGGTCCTTGTGGAACGTAAAAGAACCCACACCACTGTTCGAAAAGAGTTGGGGACGTAGACCCCGGTGTTGTGGTCAACCCTCACTCATCACAGTCCGATAGTTCCGTTGAGTTTTTAGGGGCCATACGATCAGTGCTGATCGTATGGTCCCCAAAATATAACAACACGAATTAACATATGAATTGAGGCGTTTCTTACAACGTCCGTTTACAGCATAGTTATTATTCACTTTTATCAGAAGTTTTACTTACGCAGAAAACGTGTCATATATGCTGTTCTTTGTTAGTTGTATTCATTCCCTGAAGAAGTCTCAGTAACAGACGAAACGTGTCGGAAAAAAAAAGAAAAAGCTTACCACTACAAGAAGTCTCCCTTTGTGCTGCTAAGGGGGAGTGACTAGTCTTCGTTAAAAAAATTTCAAAAAGAAATTTTTGTTTTGTTGTTTATTTTATCTTTTTGTTAAATTTGGTGATTTATTTTTACCCGCGACCTCTACCCGCGAGTCGCGACCCGCGACATTTAGATATACTCCGGTACTCTAGTAACCGGTTCGAATCGTATTTTTTCTTCCGAGCTGCCTGTGTCACTAATAAAAAAAAATCGTTTCTCATGCATCACCAGGCTTAAAATTCACCATCAGCTTGAAAATCATCACAAAGAATTATGTTCAACTGAACTGCACTGGAAAAGTTTCAGTTGGTCTCAGTTACATAACTTCACACGATTAGAATTCCAAAAAGAGGCTTGGTCACGTGACATCGCCCGAATCGAAGATGGCGGAGAGAGATGTAAGTATCTCTCAGAGGAGACGATTAAGAAAATCGCGGGAATGAGTAAGTCGAACCGGTTACTAGTCCAAACGTGTTTGGACTAGTCATAGGTTAGACTCCTGTTGTGAGAACTCTGATTTCTTATTCGAGCCACCTGTGTCATTATTAAAAACAGCTTTTCCCAAAATAATTCTTCTGCACTAAAAGCGAAAACACCAGTCCGATCCGATCCGCGTTTCCAGCGATCCGATCAAGATTTTGCCGACGGCCTGAAGGGAAGGCAAATTTTTCTTGGAAAGGAAGCGAAAATGCTTGAAAGGGTAAGGCACCCTAAAATAGCCGAATTTCTACGTGTTTGTTCTAAGCCACTTGCCATTATGATGGAATATGAATACTTTGATTTTATGCCATTTCAGGGTATTGACCATCAAGTGTCAGACTTACTCGAGTTTTTGCACTAACTGGATCGGCTTAAAACCCTTAACACAGACGCTTTTGAGCATCTTCTTCCTATGTTTTCTAAGGGAGCACGTGATGTCGACGAAGGTCTGCATTTCTACATGCAAATGATATCGTTCATCGAGACCTGAAACCGGGAAACGTCTTGGTGAGTATACGAACATTACAAGAACAAGATCGTCAATCCGAATGAAAAGTGAAACTGTTATTACCGGTAATTCGGAGAAACTAATATTTATGAAAAATAAATTTAAAATAAAGCTTGAGAAAAACAAACGAAAAAAAGAAACAATTTGGAAAAAAAGAAACG